TATGCAAACATACATTCACTGGACTCTCTTTTGCCAAGAGAGTTAATGATTGGTTTCTCAATAATTCTTAAACATATGTAGGATCTCTTTTGTTCAGAGATTTATGTTTCAATTATCTCTTTTGTCAAGAGACCTGTGTTTCAATCATCTCTTTTGTCAAGAGACTTTATCAAACATTTAAATAACTAGGGTTGAACAATACCCTGAATAATAATACCTTGAATTAATATATGATATACTAATATTGAATGATATACTAATATTGAATTAGGTGGTCTCTTTTGTCAAGAGATCTTCATTATGTCTAAAGCATATCAAATTCAATACATATATGTATATAAATCTATTTAATTCATTCATTTATTATTTCAATTCTTTTTCACTCTTTTACCACCAATTCTCCACCCTTAGGCAAAAAGAGAATGGTGCTGTACACAGGCATGCAATGCAACCTTTGACCTTTTGTCAAGGCCAAAGGGTGTAGGGGTGAAACTTGGTCAAAGCTGGCAAGGTGAAACAAAAAGCTGGTTGCTTTGACCTTTGGTCAAGGTCAAAGGCTAGCTGGTGGGCTGCTGTATGACCTTTTGTCAAGGTCATAAAGGGGCTGCTTTTGTCAAGCAACCCCAGGAGGTCTGCAATGACCTTTGGTCAAGGCCAGGCAGCATTGGCATGTCAACTCATTTTTTGTCAAAATGAGTTGCACTACCTTTGGTCAAGGTAGTGGGGTGGCACTCAAGGCTCAGCATGGTGATCCAGGAAGGCCTCCACAGCATCAGCCAGGCACTTGTAGTGCTTCTGGCCTGAGTGCCACCCAATTCTGTAGACTTCCATGCCTGCTGCCTCACATTCATTGCAAACCTCCTCATTATCATCAAAGATATAGCGCACCCCCCACTTTTGCATCAATTGAGCCTTTCCATACCAGCCAGATTTCTGGCTGGTAAAGCTCAAGTGAGCTATGAGGGTGCCCCTATACCTTGACAAGGTCTGAATGGTGGCTTGGTTTCTCTTGTGGCCACCAAATGAGATGACCCACACCTTCACCCCTGCTCTCTGCAGGGTGTGAAGGGTGTCCTCATCCACCCAGTCATCGACCTCCAAGGTGTTGTGGAAGTCGATGGCCACCATCTCAGGCAGCAGTGGCTTGAAGGCCCAGTGGATCTGGCCCAACTTTGCCACCTTGGCTTCACCCCTTTTGTCAAGAGGTGCAGCCTGACTGCCAGAGTCAGAGCTCTCTGAGCCCCCCCAGTCAGGGCTGGAGGGGCTTGGCTCCCAGAGAGAGGCACCCTTCTGGGTCCAGCCTCTCACCTTGCCATCCTTCTTGGCCAGCTGTGCTTCACTTGGGCCAAGGGTCTTTGCCTCACTTTTGTCAAGTGAAGCATCTGGCTTCACCTCACTTTTGTCAAGTGAGGAGGGCTCTGCTGGGGCCTCTTGCTTCACCTCACTTTTGTCAAGTGTGGTGCTCTTGGACTCATCTGCTTGTGACACTTCCCTTTGGTCAAGAGAAGTGTCACTGCCATCACCTTTTCCCTTCTTTTCCTTTCCCTTCTTAGGGCCTTTCTTCCCTTGGCCCTTTCCCTTCCCTTTGCCCTTTCCCTGTGGGATCTCACCTTCATGACCCCCTTTGCCCTTCTTCTTTGGGCCTCCACCTTCATCTTCATCCATTTGGGAAGGGCTCTTTCCACCACCCTTTCTTTTGTTCTCCCTTTTGTCAAGAGAGACTGCTCCTTTTCCTTCTTTTTTCACCTCCTCTTTTTTCACCTGAGGCTCCTTGGGCTTCATCATCTCTGCCACCTCTTCTGGTGACAGCTTCCTAGCCTTGGTGTTTCTTCCCTTTTCCACCTCCCAGTCCACCTCCTTGGAGAGCTTGTCTTCTTCTCCCATGTTCTTGTTTTCTCTCTCCATGCCTTTCTTTTTAAAGGCCTCTCTCCTTACATTTGACACTGTCCCAGTGCCAGTTGCCCTGCCCTTGTTGTTCCTCAAAGGAAACATCCTTTGGTCAAGGATGTTCCCTTGGCTGGGCCCTTGAAAAAACACACACTTCCTTTTGTCAAGGAAGTGGCAACTCTCTACTACTTCTTGAGCCCAAACTGCCAAACATTCACATTACCTCCTAAACCCTGTGCCTGGTGGGCCTAAAGCCCTGGAGAGAACCCTCAACCCTGGACCTGGTGGACCTTAAAGAACCCTACAGATAACCCTAAAGGGTAACAGCAACAACCATAACAACCAGCAACCACCAGCAACCACCACCACCACTACTATATAGTACTATATACTATACTCTTTCTCTACTGCTACTACAACCACCACTACTCCTACTACCCCACTACTACACTAACCTTTCTCTGCCAGCCCCCATCTTGAAGCAGCTTTTTTTCATGGGGGCATAGCTCTGTTGTAGCTCTCCTTTGGTCAAGGAGAGCTGTTTCCAAAAAGTTGCTGCAGCTGCCCTTTTGTCAAGAGAGCTGCCATCCTAAAAAACAGCACACCCCTTTGGTCAAGAGGTATTGCTGATCTGTACATATAGCTGCTTGCTTCCCCTTTGGTCAAGGGAAATTGTTGCTGCTGGAGTGCTCTGTGGTCAAGGGTATGAAGGATTCTTTTGTCAAGAATCCTACCAAGTGTTGTACAAATGGGCCCTCAAATCCAAAGCTTCTGCTTTGGTAAGATGCTCTGTGATGAGCCTTCTCTTGATTTCAGCCATGATGTCCAGGTACAGCCTGTGGCCAACCTTAGTGGTCTCCACAATCAAAGGCAATTTGCCTTTGCCACCTGGCACAGTGGTGCCACAAATGTAAGTCCTCCAGGGTGGTTTTTTTGGGGTGGTCACCCTCAACTTTGTCCATGGCTTCCTTGTGCTTGCTGCATGATCTGCAGGTGCCTTCTGTTTTTTCTTCTTTTTGACCTTGCCTTTTTTGGCCTTTGGAGAACCTTTTGTCAAGGAACCCCCTGTGCTTGGTTTCTTGTCCTTCTTTTTGCTGGCAGGCCTCTTGGCAATGCCTAGATCTTTTTTCAAATCCATTGGCTCATGCTCTTTTGCAGCTTTTGCTGCAAGTTGCCCTGGCCTTTGTTTCAAGAAGGAAGGGATTCCACCCCCTTTGGTCAAGGGGCCTTCCTCCCTCTCTTCCTCATTGCTTTCCCCCCCTTTGGACAAGGGGAGGCATTGGCTTTTCTCTTGTTCAGGGGTGGCAAAGCACCTAGGCAAACCTGAGCTGTCTAAGCTGACATCACTAATCTCCTTCTTCAACTTTTTTGGCTGGGGCTCAGGTTCTTCAGCCCTTTCGACAAGGGCTGGCTGTTCCTTCTTCACAATCATATTTATCACCTCTTGCAGTTGCTGCAGGTCACCACCTGTCAATCTTGCAGCACATGATTGCAAAGAGGAGTTTGCCAACCTTCTCATGTGGTACTGCAAGACTCCAAGTCTTTCCACTTTCAACCCAACCCACACTGCTCCTGAAAATTGTGTATTGTTCAGGGCTGGGTGCTCCAACAGAACTTGGAATAGTGCCTTTCTTAGGCACTGGGTATGGATTTCACATGTAGGCTCCAGCTTCACTAGCCCTTTGGTCAAGGGCAGCAGGTCTATCAAGCCCTTTGGGTTGCAGGCTTGGGACCTAGAGATTCTCTCATATGACCCCATGTGTTGCAGCAAACTTCTTTGCTCTGAAAACAAAGATACCAGCAAGCCTTCATCCACTTCAGGCTTTGCAGTATGCCTTGCACCACCTTTGGACATCCCTTTTTGTCAAAGGGATTCCAGCTGCACCTCTTTTGTCAAGAGGTGCAGGTCAATCACAGGAGGAGCTAACTGGAGCCAAAAGATCAAGGCACAAATCAATATCCAAATCAATATCCAAATCAATAAAAATTTCAATAAAAGTTTGCAAAAAAAATCAATAAGCAAAAACCGATGAAAATATTGAAAAAATCAATTAAAAAAATGGAAATCAATATCAATAGAAAACATACCATTTTGATTGACCAGAATCAATATCCGAGCCTCAGGGTGGGTTGAATGTATATAGGTAGAATGTCCAGTCTTGATTAGTAAATGGACCCCCCTCCTAGCAAACAATCGAGGGTGCCTGAATAGAATCCGGGCCACCAGAAGTAGTAGTGGTACTAGTGGGTAGTAGTACTAGTGGTAGTAGGTAGTAGGTAGTAGGTAGTGAGTAGTGAGTAGTAGGTACTAGGAGTCGTGGGAGTAGTAGGAGTAGTAGTAGTAGTAGGAGGAGGGGTGGTAGTAGTAGTAGTAGTAGTAGCAGGAGGAGCAGGAGCAGGAGCAGGAGCAGGAGCAGGAGCAGCAGTAGCAGTAGCAGTAG